GATAGATTTATTGTGTCACCTCGCTATTACCCAGTGAGAACCCACAGTGCAGGGAATACTGTAGCCTAAAAGCTGGAATGCTACCCTAGCTGAATACAGCCTATATGAAACATAACACAGGGGAGATACATCCTCACGCTTGCTTATTGAAGCTGAAAAGAAGCTGCGAGTCCATCAATATCCTGGGCCTGCGAGCCATCATGCCTGCATAATCTATGAATCTCTTCCCATGTGCACTATGTTTATGTTTTTGGTTCCTAAACGCATTGTGTTTAAGGAGACCTGCGAGTTTCACTGTTAACTCCATATAAATCTTGCAAATAATAAAAAATATATTTAAAAAAAAAAAAATTAACAGTGATTGTTGCCTTTCAAATACACAGGACTTAATAGCGTCCACCATCATAGGAGAGAGGTATAGCTCTGGTGGGTAGGTTGGTTCATGCGTGCAGTTTCCCTGGAGCACCGTGGCAGGGGTCCCCTCTAGCCCCAGGCCTGGATGAGGGTCAGTGATGTGGTTCCATAGACTTTGGAACGTGTGAGTGCCAAGTCTTTTCCCCTACTGGGGTGGCCGGAAGAACCATATGATAAATGCCTGAGGTCTTCGGCTGGTATGGTCGACGCGTGAAGACTAAGCCTCGATAACTCTCAATCTAGGATGGCAGATCATCCCAGGGGAGTGAGAAACATAAAAACATAGAATGTGATGGCAGATGAGAACCTTTCGGTCATCTAGTCTGCCTAATTTTCTAAATACTTTCATTAGTCCCTAGCCTTGTCTTATAGCTAGGATAGCCTTATGCCTATCCCACACATGCTTGAACTCCTTTACTGTGTTAAGCTCTCCCACTTCAGTTGGAAGGCTATTCCATGCATCCACTACCCTCTCAGTAAAGTAATACTTCCTGATATTATTTTTTAAACCTTTGACCCTAATTTAAGACCATGGCCTCTGGTTGTGGTAGTTTTTCTTCTTTTAAATAAGTGAGTAGGTAGGGATTTGCCCTGAGAAGACACCCTCCTCTATGGCACCGCATTGCTCCTTTCCTCCATAGTAGGTTTCTGCAGTGGCTGTTGTACTCGAGCCTGCAGTTTAGCCCAGAAAGCTGTAAAGATTTCCTCCAGGCACTGTAGGGTTTGCTCAGCTGAGCTGCGAGGAGTTGGTTGTATTAGGCCCAGGTGTCTTGAGCCGTGGACGGGGGTCGCCACCATCTTGGGAGGAAGGATTTGCTGCAGTGTGTCTTGTGGCTGAGGTTATGTGCCCAGGTAGCTTAGTATAAACACAGTGAGCTCAGCGTGGACCTGGATATCCCCCACCGGTCAGAGGGGCGGGGTAACAAGGCTTTAGAGGGTTCACTTTGAGATGCATTGTCCCGAGCGGCAGTTTGGCCGCCTCTCCCAGCCGACAGGCCAACACCCTCAGTAGGCCGCAGAGCCAAACGGCGCTGTCTGATGACAAAACCAGTAGTTTTGGGAGCCTTGGTGTCCCCTTTAGTAAGGATGACTCTCTGCTGAATTCTGAGCTGTTTGTGGCGATTTAAGTGCAGTTTTAAGTTAAGATTCGTTCAGGCAGGAGCTCCTGGAGAACACGTGTTGCGTGCTTGAGAGTCAGCCTCCCCTCCCAGCCTTGCCTGTATTTATTTTCTTTGGAATACACAGGCAGTGGTGTATTTTGAATTTGTGCTGCCATAGGCATGACGGAACTCTGGCACCCATTAATTTAAATTTGTCCCATCCCTTTCTGTCAAGGCCACATCTCTTCCTGTTAAAGACTAACACACGCTTTGACTGACATACACAGAGACACACTCTCAGATACACTGACATACACTCAATGGCAGACACACATACTCACACACTCCCTGATTTGACACAATCTGACAGACACACATAATCACTCAGACACGCACTGACGCGCACACTCACTGACAGACACACATTCACTGACAAACACACATTGACAGACATACACACACTCACTGGCACACACTGATAGACATACGCACACAGTCATTGACAGACATACACACACTCACTGAGAGACACACTCATAGAAATACAAATACTCACTCACAGAGCGCGAGATAGGCGGTGAGGGAGCTGTGATCTTACTGCTCAGCTCCCTAGCGCACTGCTTAGTGGTGCTAGAATGACATCATATTCCGGCTCCCGGCATCACTGTGGGGAGCACTCAGATCAGCGCTGAGGAAGAGCTCAGATTAGCGCTACCTCGCGGCTGCCTATAATACAAACTGTCCGGGCACCCTGGGGGGGCTCAAGGGTGGCCAGCCGGCCAACTCTTGGGCCCCCATAAGTCAAGGCTAACAAGGTATTTGCCAGGGGGGTAGCTTTTTTTTGCCCCCTGAAAAGTGCCGCCCAAGGCAAATACCTTGTTAGCCTCGCTAAATACAGCCCTGTACAAAGGTACGTTAGTTTTAAAATGACTATGGTCCACACAGTTAGGTGGGGCATCTAAAACATTAACAGTCAGACTTTCTCCATTATAAATTCATATTGTGTTCATACAGCGCAGCCCTTGCCCTTGCCAAACAGTCCTACTTTTCCTCTCTCATTAGTTCATGCTCCCACAATCCCAGGCGTCTATTTGACACCTTTAATTCTCTTCTTCGCCCTGCTGTGGCCATCCCCCAAACTAACCTTACTGCTGATAACTTTGCATGTTACTTTACTGACAAGATAGAACAGCTAAGGAAAGAATTCTCCCCTCCTTGCCATTCTGTTTCTCAACCACACATAGAGCATACCTTTCCTACCCTTCAGACATTCTCCCCGGCTACTGACCAAGAGGTGGCTGCTCTTCTCCTCTCGCCCCACCACTTGCCCGCTCGATCCTGTCCCATCTCACCTTATTGGATCTCTCTCCACTTGTCTCGTGCCTTCCTTAACACACATCTTCAACTGCTCTCTCTCTTCTGGCATTGACCCTGCTGACCTTAAACATGCCACTGTTGTACCTATACTAAAAAAAACATCCCTCGACCCGTCCACCCCCTCTAACTATCGTCCCATATCCCTGCTCCCTTTTTCCTCAAAGATTCTGGAAAGACTTGTCTTTACCCGTGTGTCTCATTTCCTCAATTCCAACTCTCTCTGTCACGTGCGTGGGCTATAGGCCCAGCCGAGACAGTGGGGAGAGTGTGGAAGTGACAGGGTTAATGACACCAGACCCCTGGTTACCTGTTGCTAGTCCCAGCAACCACTCAATTAACCCCTGCAATCCCTTCTACACTAACTCCCTTAGTACACTTGACTGCCACCACCAAGACTTTTAAACCCGGGCGTCTTAGGTTACCCCACACACAGGAGAATTATAGTATCACCGTTCTACTTTTACTGATAAAACATATATAGTTAACCCTTTTTGGTAACGTGTTTACCTGAGCTTTCCTCTGGAGAGTGAAGCTCATAGAGAACAGAGACACAAGCTGATTAAGTAAACATTTAATCTGACAAAAAGGATTCACAGTGCTGAGTACAAAATACAGAAATAAATGACATACAGATAACAAATTGCAAAACAGTACATAAAATAAAATAGGAGAAAACACAAGAAATTCCTTACATATATTTACCCCATATAGAATTCTTGTGGGAGTCTTAGATGGTATAGGTCTCCTAGAAGTTACTGACAAAAAGAAAAGGAATAACTGACTACCCTGGATAGTCCAACACCCTCATATATCTAAACTAGTTCTTTCTCAGTGGGCAGACCCCTGGGGGAGGGGGGATCAGAGGGGGCTGGTCTGGCAGTCTATTGCCCACTCTATGAAATTCCTTGGGTCCAGCTCTGGTGATGGCTATCTAGATGTTTTATGGTCTAGGCCTGGTGCAAGATCAAAGACCATAATAAACGTCATCCCAAGGTTTACAAAGAAAAAACAACTCTTAACATATATAAACACACATCAAACAACAACTCATGCTTTTGGCATGACACCTCCCCCTTAAGATGGTGGACAGAAAAATGCACCCACAGGCTGATTTATCTGTCTACCATTAACCCTCTAGTTGCCGAGACAGGCCATCTGCATTCCCATGCAAGCTGCCCTTTTTGTGTTGGACAGTGAAATTATACTGTTGGAGGATGAGGCTCCAACGGAGCAGCTTACCATTGTTACCTGATACTCTGTCCAGCCAATGCAGCGGGTTGTGATCAGTGATGACAGTAAAGTCTCGGCCGTACAGATATGGCTGTAATTTCTGCAAAGCCCATACAACAGCTAGACACTCCTTTTCTATTACTGCATAGGCCACCTCCCTGGGTAACAGCTTCCTACTAAGGTAGAGGATAGGATGCTCTTCTCCTTTAGAGTTAACCTGGCTAAGCACAGCTCCCAGCCCAAAGTTGGAAGCATCTGTCTGGACCACAAACCTCTTACTAAAATCTGGGGCCTGAAGGACTGGGAAGCTAGACAAGGCTGTCTTTAAGGCAGTGAAGGCCTTTTCACAGTCCTCAGTCCACGTTATCTGCTTGGATACTTTCTTTTTAGTTAAATCTGTGAGTGGTTTGGCTGTCTCACTGTAGTCTGGGACAAATCTGCGATAATACCCTGCTGTCCCCAAAAATGACATGACCTGTTTCTTGGTCTTAGGGACTGGCCAGGCCGTAATAGATTCCACCTTACTGGGTTCAGGGCGAATGGACCCCCCTCCTACTCTGTGCCCCAGATACTGCACCTCTGTCATGCCTATCTGACACTTTTCTGGTTTGATGGTGAGCCCTGCCCCTCTTATTTGCTCCACTACTTTGCCCAAATGAACCAAGTGCTCCTCCCAGGTCTTGCTAAATACGGCAATGTCATCCAGGTATGCCACGGCGTATTCCTCATGGCTCTCCAATAATTGATTAACCAATCGCTGAAAAGTGGCCGGGGCATTTTTCATCCCAAAAGGCATCACACTGAACTCATACAACCCAAAAGGAGTGATAAAGGCTGACCGCTCTTGGGCTTCTGGAGTCAGAGGGATTTGCCAGTACCCTCGACTCAAATCCATAATAGTTAAATACTGAGCACCTGCTAACTGATCCAGTAGTTCATCTATCCTGGGCATGGGGTAAGCATCAAATGTGGTCACTGCATTTAACCTTCTGTAGTCTACACAAAACCTGATGGATTTATCTTTCTTGGGAACCAGCACTACAGGAGAAGCCCAGGGGCTCTTTGATTTCCTAATTACCCCAAGCCCCAACATGTCTTCAATCTCCTTATGGATGTGGGCCCTTACCTCTGGGGATACCCGGTAGGCTACCTGTCATAGTGGTGGTTGGCCATCAGTATCTACGTGGTGGGTGGCTAGTGTGGTTCGTCCTGGCTGCCCGGTAAATGTGTCACTAAAGGGGCCTAGTACCTGATGTAGCTGCCTCTTCTGTTCAGCTGAGAGCTCTGGGTTGATTTTTGTATCTTGTAGGGATTCCTGGCCTTTAGCTTCCTGTACCAGATCCAGCAAAGGATCATTACCTAGTTCTTCCTCTGGTGAACTACATACACTGAGTACCAAATTCTCTGGGTCATAATATTCCTTTAACATGTTAATATGATACTGCCTCTGCCTCTCACCCTTTTCAGCGAGGGCTACTACGTAGGTGGTGGGTTCTAAACGCTGCAAAATGAGGAAGGGACCCTCCCAGGCAGCCTGCAACTTATTTTGTCTTATGGGGTTCAAAACCATGACCTTTTGTCCCACTTCATAGACCCGGTCCCTAGCATTGCGATCATACCAATATTTCTGCCTAGACTGCGCTGCTGTAAGATTGTCATGCACTAGCCCTGTCAATGTCTGCATCCTGTCCCTAAACTTAAGAACGTATTCCACCACAGAAGTTTCTGGAGTGTGTAGCCTCCCCTCCCATTCTTCCCTTACCAAATCTAGGGGTCCCCGCACTTTGCGTCCATAGAGTAATTCAAAGGGTGAAAAACCTGTGGATTCCTGTGGTACCTCCCTGTAAGCAAATAGTAAATGGGGTAAATACTTCTCCCATTCCCGGCCCTGTGATTCTACAAATGTTTTGAGCATCTGTTTCAAGGTCCCATTAAACCTCTCACAGAGACCATTGGTTTGGGGATGGTAAGGGCTTGCTACCAAGTGCTGTACATTAACCTTCTTACAGAGACTCTGCATCAGATTAGACATAAACTGTGTACCTCGATCAGTGAGCATTTCTTTAGGGAAACCCACCCTGCAAAATATACTGATCAGAGCGACTGCTACCTTATCTGCCCTGATAGAGAAGGCGATGGCTTCAGGATATCTGGTTGCATAATCCACCACTGTCAGAATAAATTGCTTCCCTGTACTGCTGGGGATAGCCAACGGCCCCACAATATCTACAGCAACTCGTTCAAAGGGTACAGTTATGATGGGCAGAGGCACTAAGGGAACACGAGTAACATCCCCAGATTTACCCACTCTCTGGCAGACGTGGCAGGACCGGCAGTAATTTGCAACTGCAGTGCCCATGCCAGGCCAGTAGAAATTGTGAGCCAATCTTGATTTTGTCTTGGTTACCCCTAGGTGTCCTGCCAAAGGGGTTTCGTGGGCTAACCTCAGCAGCTCACCCCTGAACTGCCTAGGAACCACTAGTCGTCTTTCTCCCTCCCTGGTCCCCTGTATATTGCCAGGAAGGGATTCCCAGTACAATATATTATTATCCCAATATACACGGAGCCTATCTGTGTCAGAGCCTGGTTGTTCGGCGCGGTGTCTCAGCCCTTCCAAGGAGGGGTCACTGCGCAGAGCTTCCAGGAAACTCTTATTGCCCTCTCCCCACCATGCTGCACAAGAAGGTATTGCTCCCTCTGGCAGAGCCTCAAGGGGTGGGAGAGGGTCTACACCATTCTCTGCCTGTTCTACCGCTGCAGCTCTGGCACACTGCTGACGTGTTACTACTGCCACCAGGGGTACACATCCCTGGCTTTCACCTTCCTCCTCCCCCTTACTCTCTGACATCCCAGCCTCACAGTATTTTGATACAGGCACATCACTACTCTCCCCTATATTACATTTGGTAGACATCACTGGTTCAGTTACAGGTAGATATTTATCCACACCCTGCTCTCCCTCCCAGCAATCACACTTCACAATGTCTCCCAAAGTTTCACACAATACCTTAGGTGGAGCAGTCAGTCCAGGCTCACAAACAGTGTCCTCTGGAGCATAGTGGCAGAGCATCCTGCCCAAATCATTCCCCAACAGAACATTAACAGGGATATCCTCTGAAATCCCCACTTCCCGCAAACCTTTGCCCGCACCCCAATCAAGGTACACACGTGCCAAGGGCACAGCGGGGCATACACCCCCAATTCCTTTGATGGACATGGTTCTTCCAGGGATTATGTCCTCTGTATTCATCCCCTTCAGGTCGCACCAGGGTGAAGGAAGCTCCAGAATCTCTCAGTCCCATGGTCACTCGGTCACCCACAATTACACTCTGCAGGTTATCCTCTTGTTTCCCCACGGACCAACCCACAAGCAATACTGATGGTGCCCCTCCACGGACTGGTGAGGGCATATTCCTAATGGGGCAAGTCCTGCTCAGATGACCAATCTGGTTGCATCGAAAACAACGGCGGGCATCTGACTCACTTGACATAGCCCCGGCTACGCTGGCAGTCGGCGGTGAAGTTCTCACTGCAGATCTTACAAGTGGTGATTGAACTGTAGCTTCTCTCCAGGTCGAAGTAGCAGCTGACACAAGTCCACGCCTGGATGTGGGTGCATGGATGTCTGCATAGTCATCTGCCAGTTCTGCAGCAGCCCTAGCATTTTTTGGCTTTCTTTCCAAAATCCACTCTCTTACATTAGGGCTCCGGGTCTGCAAGAACTGCTCTAGGACCAGTAAGTCATTAAGGGCTTCATAGGTAGTAGCTTGTACTCCTGTTACCCATTGCCGGAACGTGGTTTCTAATTGTGCAACATATAGAATGCAGCTGGATGATGGGCATTGCTGCATACTCCTAAACTTTTTCCTGTAAGACTCAGGAGTAAGGTTAAAAGTTTTTTGCAATGCAGATTTGATTGCCTCATAGTTGTTATCAGTCTCTGGGGGAAGGGACACAAACACATCCAAGGCTTTCCCTTTCAATTGTGGAGTTAAATATCTGCCCCACTGGTCTGAGGGTAGTTGATGCTGCCTGCATACTTTCACAAAACTTTTTAAAAATACATCCAAATCTGTCCCTTCTTCGAGGGAAGGAAAATCATCCTTACGGAGCCTACGTGTGCTGGACTCTGATGCATTGCTGTTCAGTGAGGACTGAAGGGTAAATTGCAGTTTAGCAAGTTCCAGCTCATGTCTCCTTTGTGCCTCCCTTTCTGCAGATTCCCTTTCTGCAGCCTGCTGTTGGATCATCACATGCAGGGCCTCCTGAGGATTTGCAGCCATCAGTTGCCGAAATAAATCAGTTGAGCAAATGTCCTTAATGTTTTGAGGGGTACAACCACCAGGCATTTCAGTAAGCAACACTCCTGCAGTAGTAGGGAGCTCGGTAACCCTTTCAGTGTCCGTCTCTGGCTGGAAAATATGGCTGTCAGCCTCCACAAGGTCAGCAATAAGTTGTGCCTTATTTTTGCCAAAAGTTGGTAAATTCTTTTCTTGGCACAACAATTCCAAGGCCTCTTTTGATTGTTTGCGATAGGCCTCCATATTCACAAATGGGATAGAGAAAGAAAAACAAAAGATGGGAGGGGAGAACTGTTTTGCACTTTGTATGTATTTTAAATCAGCACTGAGCTTGGTCTTTGAAAATGACACAAAAACAAGTATGCAATTTCTTTTAGTGCTAAGACCCCCTTTACAGGTAAAATCTAGCAAGCACTAAAAATCTCTAAATATATCCCACTAGCTGCCGCCAGTTTGTCACGTGCGTGGGCTATAGGCCCAGCCGAGACAGTGGGGAGAGTGTGGAAGTGACAGGGTTAATGACACCAGACCCCTGGTTACCTGTTGCTAGTCCCAGCAACCACTCAATTAACCCCTGCAATCCCTTCTACACTAACTCCCTTAGTACACTTGACTGCCACCACCAAGACTTTTAAACCCGGGCGTCTTAGGTTACCCCACACACAGGAGAATTATAGTATCACAGTTCTACTTTTACTGATAAAACATATATAGTTAACCCTTTTTGGTAACGTGTTTACCTGAGCTTTCCTCTGGAGAGTGAAGCTCATAGAGAACAGAGACACAAGCTGATTAAGTAAACATTTAATCTGACAAAAAGGATTCACAGTGCTGAGTACAAAATACAGAAATAAATGACATACAGATAACAAATTGCAAAACAGTACATAAAATAAAATAGGAGAAAACACAAGAAATTCCTTACATATATTTACCCCATATAGAATTCTTGTGGGAGTCTTAGATGGTATAGGTCTCCTAGAAGTTACTGACAAAAAGAAAAGGAATAACTGACTACCCTGGATAGTCCAACACCCTCATATATCTAAACTAGTTCTTTCTCAGTGGGCAGACCCCTGGGGGAGGGGGGATCAGAGGGGGCTGGTCTGGCAGTCTATTGCCCACTCTATGAAATTCCTTGGGTCCAGCTCTGGTGATGGCTATCTAGATGTTTTATGGTCTAGGCCTGGTGCAAGATCAAAGACCATAATAAACGTCATCCCAAGGTTTACAAAAAAACAACTCTTAACATATATAAACACACATCAAACAACAACTCATGCTTTTGGCATGACACTCTCCTTGACCCTCTTCATTCTGGCTTCCACCCTCTCCACTCTACTGAGACTGCACTTATCAAAGTTACTAACGACCTAATCGCAGCTAAATCCAAAGGCCACTACTCCATACTAATTCTTCTGGACCTCTCTGCGGCCTTTGACACCGTTGATCATGCTCTCCTTCTTCAAACTCTTCAATCACTTGGTCTCTGTGACTCTGTCCTCTCGTGGTTTTCCTCTTATCTCTCTCAATGCTCATTTAGTGTCTCCTTTTCTAATGATACCTCCTCCCCTCGTCCTGTCTTGGTTTGAGTCCCACAAGGCTCTGTCTGTGGATTCCACCACCACCTGTACTCTGATAACACCCAGTTATATTTCTACTCCCCGGACCTCTCCCCTGCTGTCCTGCAACGTGTCCCTGCTTGCCTTTCTTCCATCTCTGACTGGATGTCCTCCCGCTTTCTGAAACTCAATCTCTCTAAAACTGAGCTCCTTGTCTTTCCTCCTAATACTGATCC